CTTCCGATTCTCTCCCCCATCCCACGGGGGCAGGGGGGAAGGAGCGAGCAAGCGGCTGTGTGGTACTCAGTTGCCGACTGAGGTTAAACCACAGCAGCACCTGCAGCCTTCTCAGTCGGTAGAGCATGGGAAGCTGAAAAGTCCTTGACTAGTGTAAATACTACTTGGCAACAACTAAAACATCGGTGCGTTATCAACATTGTTCTCACCCTAAATCCAAAACACAGCACTATACCAGCTACTAGGAAGAAAATTAACTCTATCCGAGCCAAAACCAGGACAAAGCGATTGCCACCTCACTTACATTAAGCTCTCTCTGATTTCAGTGGCAAGTCTCACCCAATGACTACAAAGATCAAACAGAAGAAGCTCCTAGAGTGAACGATCTAGATCTTTCACCTCTGGACATGACTGAGACCAGAACAACAGAAGGAAGAGCATTTATGAAATATAATGGTAGCATAAGACAGGTTCCTGAAGTACACGAACGCCGGTCTCTTGCAGCCTCGGACAACTTCTACAAAAGGGTGAATGTGAAGTCTGTGATTGCTTCAGCCCATCCCTGGGTTAGAAAAGCCAGATCACGGGGGTGAAATCTCTGGCTGTTGTGGTGTGCACACTGTCACTGTTTCACTGGCAGAGGAATGCTTTTGAAATTCATCTCCCAAGGAAAGTACTTCCACTGCTGCAGACATCTGGGCTGAAACAAGGCAGACTCCCGGGCTTGGTGGAGAAAGCCAAAAGCCATGCAGCAGCTTCAGATACCTCAGCAACGCCTCTCTCAGTGAGTAGTGAAGGTGTAATTTTGTCAGTACTCCATGGTGTAAGGCCAGCTCCCACACGCAAGGTTCCCGTGCTACTGACTATAAAGTCTGCACGTGAACCAGAGGAAAACTTAAGTCAGGTACTGATCTTTTATCCAACCTGTACACTGAAGGACAGGTCAACCTGGTCATTCATGTGCGTGGAAAAAGGGATTTCTTTAAGACAGACACTAACAATACAGATACTAAGCACGCAGGTGATCTGGGGGCGGGCTAAGAGAAGATGGCTGTTCAGATCCCTGACTACAATTAAAACCTCAGCTATGACTGGTGAGTAAAAACATCAGTAGATACTTCCCCCTTGTGGTAAAATTTTAGTCATGAAAGACAGTATATTATTATTTTATTTTCTAGATGGGAGAGAGGGAATTCATTAGTATAACAAGCCTACAAACAGCCTTAGATCACGCAAATTAAATACATCTGTACTACTGCCAGTCAAGCAGCTTTCCACAAATATTAATTCACTTATGAGAGAGAGATTACTTCGTGGCTGAAAAAAACAAAAACAGAGGGGAAAAAACCTATCATTGATAGCTGTCTCTTCTCTTTGCCATGCTTTGTTTGTAACTGGAACCAAAACCAGACACATAGAATTAACTTTTTGTTGCTGGGGGTAGGGAAGGGAGAGGTAAAAAAGAAAAACTCAACTAAAATTATCTCAGTTTACTAATAGAAGTTAACTACAGACCCTCTGCTTCAGGGAAGTTTAACTGAAATTGCTGCCCATTTTCTCCAGTTTTCACTTTCTTGTTGAAATGAACCATTTGCTCCACTTGCAGTTTCTGCACCACATACGCTCACCAGCTGCAGCTTCCTTTTTCATTCCTATATCTCAAACACTCTTCACACCCTCCCTCTAAAGAGATGAGGACAGTATTGTTTTGAAACTGACTGGAACTCTAACATTTGCTCATTTCTATTAGAAAACAGGGAGCAAATATGGTTGGAATTAAAAAAAGAAAAATAATTGATCTCGTATAAGAAACAGTTCCAAAGGGTTAAAATCCAGCTAGTTATTAAATTAAAAAAACCCACCAAACACCAAAACCAAAAACCAAACCAAAAAACAACCCACACCCAAATTTGTAGACAGAGAGAACTCATGACAGAGTTGCATCCATGGAACAGTCCCCTGAGTACAAGGAAACGCAAGGACATTTCATTGAGAGCAGACAGGATTATAAACTCTGTTTCTTCAGAAGAGGATAACTATCCATAATAATCAATGAATCCTGGATTCAGCACGGTACATAAAAGAAATATTCCAGCTGCATCCATCTTCCCTTCTCCAGGATATGCCTGACCCACTCGCAGAGCCCTCTGCAGAGAGCACTGTAGGCAGCCTGTGACAATATTTGCATGACTTTGGGTATCTTCTGCTGTGTGTTTCACCAATGCAGAGTGCTCCTGGCCCATACAGGGTGACAAATAGCTGAAAAGTATGTAACTCACAACTTACTGTATGTACTTTCTTTTATTGCAAATTCTTTTAGGCAGGACCCACAGTCACTGGGCAGACGCAGAGAGATGACTTTCTTCTGCAATCCTGCAGATTTCCTAACCAGAAATATCTGTTGTGGAGAAGGCAAAAGGACATGGTTTTAGCTTCATCACAGATGCCCTAATAGAGACAGATTATAGACAAAAGGAACCAGAACAACTTCATGATCTCTGATCTATATAAAACATCTCGGAATTTTACTCGGTCATTACTATATCAGGTCCAACAGCTTAGTGTAAAATGGCAGCAAAACATTTAGAAAAGCATCTTATCCTTCTATAACACAGACACATGACACCAAGTCCATTATGCCCTTCTCTGAGCTCTCCAGTTTAACACACAGCAAATCCCAAGTCTTGAGTCAAGCTGCAGAGTCTGGAGGAGACTGATGGAGTGCTCCTGTGTCCCACCAGCCCATTCATGCAATCCTTCTGCACCAGGAGGGACGCAGCATTAGAAACATGCAATCAGCCTCATCCAAGATGACAGGGCCCGGTTTCCACCACAGCAACTTTAATGCAGGCACCAGTGAAGGATAAAATGCTGTAATTTCCCATTTATCTATTGTTTTCTCATTATGGGGGAAATACATCTGTCACATACAACCCTGGTTAGCAAGGTCCAGCTTTGGAGCTGTAATTGCAGCAGTCTAGTTCTCAGCTCCCGAGGACCCCAAACTAGTCCCCCAACATATCAGCCCAGGTAATGGGTCACACTCCAACTGGTCCAGCTGCCAAGCGTTCAGGAAGCCCTCACTTGGATTATCCAAAGCACAGAACAAATGGGGGTGGGGTGTTGGTTGGTTGGGTTTTTTTGTTTGGGTTGGCGGGGGTGTGTGTTTTGTTTTTGGGGTTTTTTTTGTGGGCTTTTTTGTCGTTGTGTTTTTTTGGTTTGGGGGGTGGGGTGTTGTTTGTTTGTTTGGTTTTTTTACAACTAACACTTGCACCAAGTAAATTGAAATGCAACTTCTTACCCCAGGAGGCTGGGCCTGCAGAATTTCCATGGCTTCAGCATCATTCAGACCAAGCTGCAGCCACACAGGGTGAGTATGGAGGAGCTTGTCCAATATGCTTAGCTTGTTGGATAGGCTGTCATATCCAGAGTCCCGGGGGCAGCTTTTTATATCGTTTTTCTCAGGAGAGACATTATCCATGTCCTTTACTAGACTGTGAAAAATTTTTTAAAAATTAAATTAGACATGCTGATCTCCTATAAACCATCACTCAGTTCAGCAAACAGAGTTATCACAAAGCTAATGACACTGCTGGTAGCCTGGACTGGCCTTTCTCCTACTGAGAATTCCTATAATTAGTATACACAAACACCATCTTATCCATAAGATTTCTTTCTTATTTCTTTCTTTCACTCATCCTCAATTTAACAGCTAGCTTTAAGATAAGCCCTAGCATTCTTGTATTAGCTTTTTAAAATTCGGCAATCACTTCAGATACACGTGTATATGCATACATGATTGACTGAACATTTCACCTCATTTCTTTGTTATGTTCACGTTTGGAAAAACTTCTCTTCAAAGCTATTTATGCAATTCAGATATTTTTATTCCCAAATAGATTGCAAAAGCTGCAACCCACAGAAGTCTTCCTCTGTCCTGCCTGCCAGAAAAATCTGTTCAACACTGGCAATGGAGCAACCCACTACCTGTTGGTGATCACTGCACCAAACACAAACACTTTCTCTGTTTGTTTGTAGGGATTATTTTCACAACAGAAGCCCACAAACTAGCATCACTTCATCTTACTCCCAGACTACTGTCTGCTCCACCAGCCCTGTCATCTTCACAGCTGTGCATCCATCTTTGTTCCCCTCTGCTAATGAGTGGTCAGAGACCTCAGTCCGGAGAAAAGAAAAAGGAGACAGAAAAGAAAAAAAAGAAAAGGAAAAAAAAAAAAAGGTTAAATTCCCCAAATAACCCTCCCTAAGGCACAACTTCATTAAGAAATTGTCCTAAGTGGTAGTAATTTTTTATGGTCCATGCTCTAAATTCTTTAAATATTGACATTTTGACATTTTGCCATGAAAGGTCCTTACCTCACGTTTAGTACTACACTTCCCAGGATCAGAAGCAAGTGAGGAATTGTATATTTATGCTCCTAATTCCTTTGGCTCTGGATCAACTCTTACATGAGGAATAAAGGCTAAGCTAAGCGTGAATGTGGCAAACTAATGTAAGGTTAAATTTATTTGAGGCAGGGCAGCTAAAGTTACTGCTATATTCAGTAATGAAGTACAGTTCTTGGAGGCTACAGATACTTGTTATGATTAAAAATCCAAATAAACGGAATATTTTGAGACCTGTTGTTGTTATGCAAAGCTTCACCATCATTCATATAATCCAGAACACCCAATATGATTGCACGTGTTGCTGGTTCAAATTCCTCATTTTTGAGCTAGAAGTACATCCTGCGATTCTTCCAGTGCTAGAAATCACTACAGAACAGTTGCTCTGGTAACAGCTTCCTTATGACAGTATTTTAGCATAGACAAAAAACACCCTGTAAGCTCAAGATCTGAATCACTAAGATGTCAGGCACAGAGGCTGCATTCTCCCTACAGACCTTTTCTGATGCCAGAAGAGGCCCTGAGCAGCAGAGGGCAACACAGCTGCATTTCCCCACTGCAAACTGTCCCACAGCTCTACAGAACTTTGTGTTTTGGATAGGCACTAAGCATCATTAACAGCATTTACCACCTTCATTATGCCAGCTACTGTACCCAGAGCAAATGGGTAGAGACTTCACAAGCACAGGAGCACTGAATACTTACAAACAAACAAAAATCCACACACACCCCCTCCAAACACAACCCCAAAACAAAACCTACCAACCAAACAACAAAAAACCCCAAACAACCAAACTGCTTTTTTTCTAGCTTTGGTCAGCAACTTGCAGCATCTCTGGACAGGGCTAGAAAGGAAAGTAAGTGGGGTAAAGAACTTTCACTACATGATCAGATAAGAACAGGCACAGTCATTCAGACTTTTCATTACCTGGATCAATTATCACTACTGGATCACCTGTGTGCCTCTCCCTTCCTTTTTGTCCTCTTTCTCCACTTGCTTATTTATGATGTAACGCATTTTAGATTTGCAAGGCATCTAAAATGCAGATGACCTTCCCTCCCCGAGTGTCAAAAGCTGCTAGTAACTGCCAGTATGCCTTCAAGGGGCACAAAATACACAGAAACATGTTGTGTGCAGAAGGGAAGTAGTGTTTACATCAGTTATGACAGGGCTCTGAAACAATAGGAATCCTGGGTTCCCCTTTCAACCACGGTCCCAGCAGAACCTACTGTTGTAATGTATGAATTTCCACGAAAGTCAAATCATGAATCACAAAAGTGTTTTCATGAGCTGTGCCTCCGGTAAACATTGCTCAGAAACTTTTCACTCACCTTCAGAACCAGTTAGCAACGTTACAAACCAAAGACAGCTATAGCAAAGTGCAAGTTATACACTGACACTGGCTGCGGGCTTAACTAGATATAACTTATTTCTATTCCTTGGTCAAGAGGTGGAAACTAAACATGTTGCAGAGGGAACATGACTGAGAGGGAAAATTTGTTTGCCTACAAAAGAAAGTTACATCACATGCACAGGTGCATGACTGGTATCAGCTATAAGGACTGGCACTGCTTGCTACCATGAAACAACCTAAAGCTAGTAAGAGTTTGCACATGTACGTAGGGTCACAGTGTTCCTCTTCAGTATGGCTGGCTTAATGTTGTCAAACACACCCAAACCGTTATAAATCAGAAGATTAATTTGAATAGGGAGCTGTCAGATTTTTGGAACCTCCAAGTACTTACATGCACAATCCCTCCCACGTGCTGAGATCGAGGAGGAACGCAACATGTGAGCCCACACCTTACTGACCTAGACGCACACACACCTCCTCATTGCAGCTGCTTCTGCCCCCTCGAGAAATAAGCCAAAGATTATGACGAGATTATTATCTGATCACGACGAGACTTTCTGCCACTCCTAAACACTACCAGTTCAAATGACCCCGATGCACCGCAGCTAGATCAGTACTGGTATGTTATTGCAATCCGCAGGAAGGTAAACTAGGAACAAACAACACTTAAAATATTTCCCATCCAAATAATAAAGAAAGCAACAGAGAGAAAGATCAGACCTGGTGAACTACTGGCAAGAGCATAGCTTGGAAAAACCATGTCTGGCAAACCACATACAACCTATGAGAAGCCACTTCTCAAGGTCCAGGAGGTAAACGCAGTCAAAAGTCCATTGGTCTGTTTTGACAGCCTATTTGCAATGGTCTAGCACTACCGAGCATCATAACCTGAGTTTGTTTTCTATTCTTAAAGTTGTTTTAATTAAACATACAGTCAAACCCTGACACATGAGAGTTCCTGAAATTTGTCACAGTTAAGACTGTAAAATTATTTGGGACTGGGATGTGTGTGTAACTTCTTTGGAAACAATAGCATGAAAAGAACCACCATTTGAATTCCTCACGATCACCTGATTAATTCAAGTGTACAGAATAAAAAGTGCCAAACATGGGGCTCAAAGGGTTCGAGATAACAGGTTTGATTGGAATGTGCTAGATCAAATTTATAGCTGTTATTGCTGTTTAGCTATTAATTGGCAGGCTCCTGTGCTTGCCACGGGGCTTGCTTGCCTTACTGTGTATTAGAGTCTAGTGCTCATTAGTGGCTGCTTTTTGGTTTCGCTGCTTACTCTACTGCGTATCTTATTCTGCTGTGCCTGAGAACATTTTGGTAACAGCAATGGCCATACGCCTGGGCTGGCAGATGGCCAGGGCATCGCTGCTGTTTCTGTGCTTCTGTACTGAACAGGCTGAAACTCCAGTGTGAACTCGAGGCGAAGAGACTCTGACCTGTGGATGAGTCCACACAGGAGCAGGACACCCCAAAGCATCTGTGGCCATGAATAAGTCCACATCAGAGCAGGTACATCTCAAAGCATCTGTGGCCGTGGTGATGTCTGTGCCGCAGCAGGTATACCCTTGGGCCACGATCCCTTCAAGAGGTAAGTCCACACTGGAGAAGATACACCTTGAAGCACCTGTGGCTGCGGATAAGCCCATGCTGCAGCAGGTATACCTTGAAGCATCAGTGGCTGTGCATGAGGTCATGCTGGAGCACCTCAAAGCGTGTGGCCAAGGATAAGCCCACAACAGAGCAAGTACACCCCTGGAAGGACTGCAGCCATGTTGGGGCTCATGTAAGGCCATGTTGGAGCAGGTTTACTTCTGAAGGGACTGGGGCTGTGGGTAAGGCCACGCTGGAGCAGGTATATCTCTGAAGGCATTGTGGCCCACGGAGAAGGCCATGCTGCAACAGGTGCACCTCAAAGCAACTGTGGCTGTGGATAAGTCTATGCTGCAGCAGGTATACCCCTGGAGAGACTGTAGCTCATAGATAAGGCTCCACTTAGAGCAGGTACAACCCTAAGGGACTGCAGTCTGTGGATAAGTCCAAGCCAGAGCAGGGGCAAGGGGAG